GCACAAGTGAATGATGCGGCCCAGCATGCAGGCACACGCCATTGCTAACAAGCCCTCAAGAAGATGGCGCAGGTTCCGAACGGTGCGGTTTCGGGGCCCCCTTAATGAGGCTCCCCTCCCTGCTTGCCGGGCCGTACTGGCCTCACCCCTACTCAGCCACGTGAGTCGTGGCAGTGTGAGTGGGGCACGCCGCTGGGAAGCGACAGGAGGGGCACATGAGCTCACCCAGAGGTAAACCCCCCATGAGCCTTGGCCAAGCGCTGCACAAGTGAATGCTGCAGCACAGCACACACTAAAAGTGTACAGAGCACATACTAAAGTATCCCAAGGCCCACTGCTTATCTCAAACGGGCAAGTGGAGACGAATGTACAAGCAAATGAACACGTGAGATTGTACCGGCGACTGAAGAAAGTGGTCAGCAGAGACTGTAAAAGCGCCACCTGAGGTGGTGGGTTGAGGGAGTGAGTGGGAGAAGCTGTCGGCTTGTTGAGCTTCTGCACCACTGGATCCTACAGCTGGTAAAGCTTGCACCAACAGGCTGTCGGAGGCATCTGCACCGAAGCTGACACGCCCGCACAGCCCCGCTCCTGCGGCGCTGTCAGGCATGCATTCCTTGTACTGTATGCGCTGTAGCACCGCCCTCTGCGCAGCGTGTTTGCGCATCACACAAAGCGGTGGTGGTGCGCGAGTCGACAGTACGCAGACAAACCTGGCAATTCTGGCCTGTGTGATGCGCAGGTGAAGCCTCCAGCCGGGACGCAAACGACGCTGTTGTGTACCCATGCGAACAGAGCCCACACCCGGACGTTGACCTGCAAGCATTAGGGATGGGTGGAGCAATCAGATGAAGGGATGCAGGCGGATGCAGCCCTATAGACTTCTCACAAACACCTTAAATTAACGCATCTTACCCAGGTGGCCTTGGTTCCGACCGGCGCGGTTTCAGGGCCCCCTTAATGAGGCTCCCCTCCCCGCTTGCCGGGCCGTACTGGCCTCACCCCCACCCAGCCACGTGAGTCGTGGCAGTGTGAGTGGGGCGCGCCGCTGGGAAGCGACGGGAGGGGGCACGTGAGCT